GAACGATTCACATTTATGAATTTCCACTGTTTTTTTTTTTTTTTTGGGAGAGGGTGCTCCAAGATGATTAACTTGCACCACAGCAGACCTCTGGTACGTGAACTATAAATAAGATGCCACCAGGACACTGCAGGCAAAATAAATAAAAACAGAGCCCTGACATTATTTTAGCCTCAAACAAATGTTTCATTCCCTACATTGTCTGGCTCAGAAAGATACATAGACAGTCTCACAGACAGAGATATAAATGAACAATTGCAGTACCTTTTTCCCACACTGTTTACAGGGTTGGCTATATTCCTACTGGCAATAGATTTTCTTCTTGACAGCTTCTTGGTGTTGGTGCTGTCATCAGTGCTGTCATCCTCTTTCTTTGGTGTGCTACTTCCTTTGCTGTTCAGGTCCCTTAGCACATTATAATTAATTTTACTTGAGATTTTCTTCTGTTCTAACATCTTTTCAATTGCCTCTCCTGCTGTGCTGGCTTGAATTGGCTCCCGTTTCTTTGCAGATTTCTTTGGCTTAATTAAAATATAAAATTAGTGATGTAGATACAAACAAGGTTTCCATGAAGCAGAAGGGCGAGCTGCAGCTCAGCAGCCCTGGCTCAGGTGCTGCTGATGCAAGGACGCAGGCGATGTGGCTGGGCTAAGCCAATGCTCCCTCTCCTGCCACTCAACCAGCCCGAGAGGTCTCTTTTCTCCGCGAGGTAAGTGTTCGCTTTTTGCCAAATGCCCGCACAGTTTATTACAAATTCTTTACTTAGTATCTGTAATGCTGCCAGAGAAGAAACGTGGGCCATTTCTCACACATGAAAATGGAGTGAACTCCTGTTACAGGAACAGGGACCCTGATATCATCACCCACCATGTAAATAATGATATTCCCCCGCTAAAATTGCCTTTAAAGTTAAAGCCAAGCTGGGTTGTCACTTCCCTAAGCACTGACAACTCCGTACCAAAACTGCAAAGGTATTTTATACCAAGTTCGGATACGGCGTGGGAGAGCACCTACCCAACTCCTCCTCCACACTGGAAAAGGCCAAGATTATTAGCAGCAGCTTTCTAAGCAGGGAGCGGCATCGACGCCGGCAGACAGCAAGCAGGAGGCTGCAGACACACGAGGTCATCTGCAACTGCTCTTCCCAGGCAAACGCTGCAAGCCCAAGCCCAAGCCCGCGCCGCGTCAGGCAGGCTGATGCTGCGCAGAGCCAGGCAAAGAGAAATGGCACCGGAGAACACTTCTAGCCCTGTCTCATGCCTGGGTAGGTATGGAAAAAAAAAAGAACCTCTGTTTCTCATCTGGCATTTTCCTTTTCAAAAGAAGGTTTTAACACCAAGCTCTGCGGGAGATTTATTTTTTTAATGGATAATAGCCCTTCTGTTTACCTACGTGGGTCAAGTGCTACCTTGAAATTGGAAAGCACTATATTAATCAAGTTCTACTCGAGCTGTCAGAAACAATACAGAGTTAGAGAAAAACTCCTGTGTTGTCTGAACAAAAAAGTGGGTGTTTGGACTACTTGGTGGTGCCAACGAGTTATACAATTTTGAAAATTGCTGGTAGACTGCCATGTCAGCGCAAGCACAGGATGAATGAGAAACTCTGAAGCATAAAACAGTGTTTCATTGTCTGGTTTTGTTTTTATTGTTGAAATACCTAGGGGAAGTAGGAAACTCTGCCTTTCCCATTAGTCAGAAAAAAAGAGGGAGGATATATGCACTAACAGCTAACACGGATTTCAGTTGCATGTGGAAGATTTGACTTGTCACTTGCTCAATTACACAAAATACTAATGCCGTAAATCGTGAATATACGGCCAATTAGACTGCTTTAAACTGCTAAACATGGAGACAGGACATGCCATTTGTTAACATAACTGTCGCATTCTTTATGAAAGGTAGAACAAAATATTCCTTCAAGTGACTGGAACAAGGATCTGTTCAGTTCTTCATAAAGAAATCATTATTGTAAGAGCAAAGAAGGCTACTGAAGTTATGGCAAGTACCAACAAATTCCCCATGCACATGTTAAAAACCAAAACTGGGCATGTCTTAAGACCTGTATTTAAATAAGCAAGAAATTAGGACAGCAATCATAAATGCAAAGAGCTAGCTCTGAGTTTGCCATGCACAGGATTTTCTCATAATAGTAATTTAAAATAAAAGTTTGGGGAAGAAAGTGTTTTACTCACCACCTTAAAAATTACAGCCTCGTAATTCAGTAACAGGTAGAGATACAATAGTTTGTGCTCATTTACTGGTGACCTGGACCATTATGCCTATACTACATGGAGTTGATCAGCAAATATAATGAATTTCCAAGACATTTTCAAACAGACACAATTAGCACACAGTTTAATACCTTGTGATCCTTATAAATCCCAAGTTCTTTCTCTTTTGCTATTCTTGCTTCCTTTTCTGAAAGATGACAAAAGGGTAACCAGCATAAAGATTACACAGACGGCGTATTTCACCAACATCGGCCAAAAGCAGAATTTCAGTCCTATATACTTACCTTTTTGTTCCTTCAAATAATCTGCATTTTCTTTCATCCACAGCTCTGCTTTTATCTGAGCTTCTGTTTCGTTAAGTATATACTAGAAGACAAAACAAGTTTACCTACTTTCAGAAATCCACTTGAAAACCACAGAGCAAAACTGAATTGAAGAACCACTGGCAAGGTCAATGCACATTCTGTTTTTAAAAATACATTAATAAAAGAAAACATGACTGAGATGTGACAATCGGAGAGCATTTCTAGTAACTTCTAAAGCTGGCAAAAAAACCCAGTATGTTTTCAAAAGACAGTGCTTGGTTTCCAAACTATGGTGGGGTGACCAAAAACCATCCAGGACTCATTGTACATAGTCTGTAATTAACCTAAAATGATCCTGGGTCTATGATCTTTTTCAGATGCTATGAGAGGGTATCATGACAACATGGTCATCTGCGAGTAATTCTGAGTTGATGGTGGTCTGTAATTCAAAACAGTATGAGAACCGCTGCCCTATGCTACCAAAACAGAAACATGTGTCTTCTGGGTAGGTTTCTGTGAAGGTTTAGGCACAGTTACTGAGATTATTAGTTCAATGGTCACATCTGTGTGAATGAAACCAGCTTAGATTGCTGGAGTTTTGGTCCTCTAGATTTTAGAGAGCTGGGCTCAGTAAACACATCTAGGCTTTTTTCAGTGAACTCCACTTAGTAACACCACTAAAAGGTGTGGAGCTGTAAAACACACCTAGAACTATTCAGATGAACTACAGAAATAAATAAACAAGCAGGTAGCAGGCAGGTTGGTAGATAGATCACCTCTTCAATTACTTAAATGTAAAAATAAACCAAATATTTAGCTCAACTGTCCGTGAAGTTCTCTACAGCTAATGCTGTTTGGGAGTGAAGAACAACTGCAGAACAGAGAAGACAAATTGGGTCATCCCTCAAGAACGAGACACTTTATTTTTAAGCAGTGGACCCAAGACTTGTAAAATGATGTTTAAGTGAAAGAAAAACAATTTGAGATTTCTCCATCTTACGGGTGTGAGCATCCGAGATTTTCTCCAAGGTAAAATGTACATATCGGATTTTATGAGAAAAATAACTCCAGTCAGATGAAATGAATGCAGGGAGGAGTCCTTCCTCCAAGGGCAAACAAGGAGAGCAAACAGCTGTGCAAGTAAGTCCTGGTTTATCAGACCAATATTTTCATCCTTTCATCTGCTTCTATTAAAAGTGGGCCATAACAGTAAAACTCGCTTCCTCCCAGCTCAGTTATTCATCCTTCTTACGCTTTTAGAGAGTTCATAATCTTGGACTTACAATATTACAGTCTATTGCCATGGAAATGAACATGAAGTCATAAAAGCAGAGTTATGACCTCATCACAGAGCCTAGAAGGAGGAGAAAACGTGCTTGTTCTTCCCCCACGGTTGTTTAAGCTCCGGACTGGGTCTACTGAAAACCTTCAATAGGGACCTGCGTCCCCGCAGTTCACAAGACCCTTCCTAACACCCAGCCTAGCTGAAGCCAAGCTGAGCATTTTCCTGCTCCTTCATGCCCCACCAACAACGTTCTGCAGATCAGCAACCCCTACGCAACTTCATGATTTCGCACCCCGACAGGACTGTTCAGCACTGCCGTTATCTGCTCAAACTACCCTTCAAACCAGCGCAGTGGCTACAGCGGGCACGAGGCTCAGCGTCAGTAGAGCTGGGCTCTGTCAGGTCTTCAAGCACCGACGTGCTGTGCGACCTTCCACAAGCCGTCTTCCCCAGCTGTCTGCCTCTCATATTCAGGCTATATGGTAAAAGGTGTCTTTCACTGCCCCACAAATAATAATAAATCCAGAAAATATTGCAGAAATTTTTCAAAGAACACAGAAGGTGTACATGCTGGTTTTACAGTTCGGTTTCCATGGCAGCCTCCTATGTTGAATAGATCTTAATTAAATAATTAATTTAGAGCTCCCCTAAACTTTTTAATGTCCTTCTTCAGAATAAAAGACTTTCTAAGACATAATTACTCCCACATGGTAAGAGCGAGCAGCAGCAGCAGTCTCAGATATATATGTAACTTGAGCAAGGAACACCAAACTCACAGGCTTGCATGAACATCAGTTTTGATCTCAGATCACTGAAATCACTTGAACCTCTCTACAGATCAGAGCGAAGAGGCAGTATGGGGAAAGGATAAACCAGACAAGAACCGTTTTGTCTTCCTCAGATATCCAAATGCAAAGACACCCGGGATAAGAGGGCACCTTACCCGATCTATTTCACTGTCGTCGATCCCACTCAGATCTAATTCACCATCTCCTGTGTTCTCACCTACAGAGAAGAACACATTTTAATCAGTCAAATGTGCGTTCAAAGTCAATCACAATTCAAGTTCTACAGTAAAGCAACACAACAATCATCCTTCGGAGATTTGCATCCTTCCACGGTCATCCAGGAGGTTTAACGTGTCGCTGAGTATGTGCAATACGGGGCTACAGACATGCACAAATTCACCACGCTGAATTCACTTAAAATTCAGGAATCAGCATGGTCTTCTTCAGTACTAAAAATCTGTCAAATGCTTCCAGTTGCCTTTTTTCCCCATATTAATGTACAGCCACAAATGTCCAGCAGGAAGTTGGGGAAACCATTTTAAAAATATGAACATTTTTCTTTCATCGTAACATGAATTTCTCTGTCAGAGCCTGTATGTCAATCATTTATCCATAAATTATGACTTAGAAAATATCTTCTGTTGTCTGGGAAGCAGCATGGGCCAGTGAATAACACATCATGCCAACAGCCTCACCATGGCTTTCTTCTTGATTCTGATCTACCATTATTTGAACCGCTTACCTCATACCAGTTCTGGTAAAAGATGTGCATTAGTTTGTCTACCTGTAAATTGGGAATTATTTCCAAATTTTAAATATGTTTTAAAAGTTATGGAAGGGTCTAGATAAATGTTAAACCACAGTGACTGCCTGTAATTACAGTTTTACTTTAATTTTTCTAGTCTTGTATTTATTAAGACTTGTACTGAAAACATTTTTTTTTTAATACTGTATCCATTAAAAAGCATAACAGCACAGAACTGAGGCACTGATTGGGACTGGCACAGGGCACAGCAACAAAACCTGGTTTTCCACATCACATTAATGTGCAGTAGTAATACACTACTAATTACACATTAATACACTATTAATGTAGTCCAGGTAGAGAAGAAAACAAATTATTCACCAAAGACACATCCTCGGGAACGAAGCAATCCTCTTGGTCACCGCCACTACCCCTAATCAAGACTAGACAAGAGGTGACCTAACTACTATATTTGCAGAAAACATAAATAGAGTTTCAACAATCTGCAATAATGAATTCAAACCGAAATGGTGCAGAAGAGCTTGGCATCTTCACGGTTCCTGCTCCCCAGTCCGGTGGATGTGCCTCCCCACAAACAAAGACTTTGAGCGCTGTGATTTCCCAGCCTGGTGCCTTCCCATGGAGCAGAGCTCCTGCGCAGCATGGTGCTGGACCAGTGGAGGGGGAAGGCAGCCGGAGCTCTTTGATCTAACAGCAGGTTATGGAAACACGGAGACTCGAAGCCTGAGGAGCACCGAAGGGTGAGGACAAACAAAGGTAGTAATTGCGAGCATTCCCAGAAGATACAAAGGATGCTCTGCTGGCAGAACTCGGGTGTTGAGTTGCCTGAACCAGCTGCCTGAAGCACATGAAGTCACAGGGTCAGGAGCCCAACCAAACAAACTAGTCAGGAAAACAGGCTGCGCTTCCTGAGGTGGTGCAAAGGATCTTGGCTCCAGGTCTCACCAGATTCACTGATATCAGACACTGAGCACTTCCAAACGTCTTTTCGAAATCCACCATAAACAACCAACATAAAGGGTTAAACCCTTTCTATAACAAGTCATACGCGAAACAGGTTTCACCCCAAAGAAAATGTCCTTTGGCAAGGAACCGCGTAACGCTGCACTGTGATTTCCTTCTGAGACTGTTCCATAAACGTAGTACCAACTCTGCCAATTCAGATAATCCAATGCTAATACAGAATCATAGAATCAC